TATATGAGAAATACACTCTGTAGTGATCTGAACAATGTCCTGATTTGCACTGAAGTGATAATCACGTAACATGGAATCAGCCTGCCTGACCATCTAGAGTATGCCCCACTGTCCAAGTTGCAGTAAAGGCAGCTTCCAGAGTCACAGCACTGTCGCAATGCACATGAGCCAGCTATCCTCTGGGTGCAATACCTGGGTCAATAACTTAGTCCACCTTCACGAGTCTCTCCAACCTTCGAGCTTGAACATTCATAACTCTCAACACCCAACACACTTAGAAGATGTCCTGATGAGCACTGACCCCAATGACTATGCAACTCATGATTACCTGGATTTTGTTCATATGGCATTTCACACATGGGGGCCAACCACAGATGACTTTGAGGGTGCAGCTAAAATGTTTGGACTTGGCCCAACATTTATGGACAAATTTAATGGCAACCAGTTCAGCAACCTACAGGCATCAAATCTGTACTACCCCTTCAACTCCCACAATGAATGGGAGCTGGCATCATGGTTACTTTGTTCAGGCCTGAGCATGAGAGCTATAGACTCTTTCTTGTCATTGTCAATTGTAAGCCTGTCCCTATTCTCTCCAAAGATCATTATTGATGTGTGCCAGATACAGCTACTAAATATTTCCTTTTGTACAGCCAGAGCACTTCATGGGCTGGCTGAGTTACTCCCTGGTAGGCTGCACTGGTGCTCAATGGAGATTACTCCTTCGCAGCCAACCAAACACCCTGTGCACTTGTACTGGCATGATCCCCTGGAATGCATTGCATGGCTCCTCAACCACCCTTTGTTCTCTGACCAGTTTGATTTTGTTCCGAGGCATGTATACAAAATGCCCAAGAAGCTTTGTAGGGTGTATACAGAGTGGATGACTGCTGATGATGCTTGGTGTATGCAGGTATGTTTCCACTGTGAGTTATAGATCCTTTTATTCAATCAATGTACCCCAGTCACAGCTTCTGAGCAGAGTGACTCTTCTTGGCACAATACTTTCTTCAGACAAGATGAATATTACTACTTTATGTGGTGGCAGTGTTGCTCATCCACTTCTCATCAGCCTAGCAAATATCAAGATGTCCACATGCCTAAAATTGTCATTCAACTCATTTATGCTTGCTGCTCTCCTCCCTGTCCCCAAGTTCATGCACAAGAACAAGCATATGTGCAGCCTCCTCAAAGATAGGCTCATTCATGAATGCCTGGATATCATACTTGAACCTGTCAAGCAAGCTGCCAAACTCAGCATTATGTTACTGGATTCTCTGGGGCACATGTGGTACTGTTTCACACCAATTGTGGGTTATATCACTGACACTCCTGAGGCTGCCATGCTCGCAGCTGTTGGGGGAAAGACTTCCCCAATCACCATGGCAATGTACAAACAGTTCAGAGACCCATTCCGACATGAGCCACAAACTGTGTCCACCACTTTGGCTCAGCTCGCAGTGGTGAAGTCAAAGGTCCACCCTACAAACATCCAAGTCTTCTTTCACAAAGCACAGCACTTTCGCCTCAGCAGAGTTAGTGACCCATTTTGGAGGGACATTCCACTTTCTTGTCCAAGCACTTTTGTAACTCTGGAGCCCCTTCACCACCTGCACAAGGAATTTTGGGACCATGACATGAAGTGGTGCATAAATGTGGTTGGTGAAGCCAAAGTTGACTTTTGCTTCTCAGTTTTACAGCCTACTGTGGGGTTCCATCACTTTAAAGGTGGTGTTGCTAAGCTGAAGCAGGTGACTGGACATGTGCACTGTGATGTCCAACATTACATCATTGGTGTTATCACTGGAGCAGCCCCTCCCAAAATTATTACTGCTATTCATGCACTCATGGACTTCTGATACCAAGTCAAAGCTTACCACATTGACAATGATGATCTTCATATAATATCTTCTGTACTGGATGAGTTTCATGTGCACAAGCAGTCAATACTCAATCATGGTGCATGACACAGTAAGGGAAACAAGCCCATTGACAATTGGCACATCCCCAAGTTAGAACTCATGCAGAGCATCATACCAAGTGTGAAGTGTGTTGGGGTCACCATCCAATGGACTGCCAATGTAACTGAACACGCCCATGTATTGGAGATCAAGACACCCACATCAGCTAGCAATAACAATAACTACAATCCCCAAATTTGCTGGTACCTTGATCATGCTGAAAAATGTAGGACATTTGAACTCACAACATCATTATATGAATTGAAGACTCACTCCCATGGTCATGCAGAAGAAAAGTCCTTGGAGGTTGAGGATGGGAGTTCTGATGATGGCAACAGTGAGATCAGTGATTGTGAGGAGGTGAATCTAGTTTCCAAGATGCCAGGTCCTGCATGACCTGTCACCAATTACTTTGCCATCTCTGTGCACCTCGGTACCCAGGATCCAGACTCCATTCCCATCCCCTTGTGTAGTTTTATTGCAGATGGTACAGCAATCAACCTTTCCTATGACCCACCCTTGTGATGCATTAGTGTTGATGGTGCTGCTGAGAAGTTTGGACTACTTGACCTCTGAGCTGCCCTTGTCAATTTTCTAAATCATGAGAAGGTGTATGGACCAAGCTCTGTGCACACTATAAGTGGGCAACATTGGGGATCAAGCTCTTCAACCCTGCCTTTTACCGATCTGCAGGTTTGGTACAAGATGCAGCTGCAGAACACAGCAATACATGATATCATGGACATCCTCCCTGCCCAGACTCTCTTCTGTTCTCCACCTTGTGAGACCTGGACCCTTGGCCACTATGATGCAGCTATCATCAATGTGGACCCCTGTTTCAAATGGCCAGAGAGTGGCCTGAAAGGTTCATGGTCCACACTACTTTTCCATGTCACTCACAAGAGTATCTTAGGTCACGTTGTTGGCCAGCTCTGTCTCCTGATGTGCCCTTTTGGCAAGAGGGGGTAAGATGGTCATGGACAGACCATTTTTTGGTCTACATACAATGTTTTGACATAGCAGCTGAAGATGCAACACACCTACATATCCTTAGGTGTGCAAAAAGAGTGAATGGCCAATGTCTTGGTGATGTCATCCTGCTCAGTCAGGTCCAGGCATTTGCACATCTCATACCTTGCTTCGGGCAAACTGCAGATAATCGATTGACAGCATACAAGTCCTTCAAGCATTCTACCAAATTCTATCTCAACAAATACTTCAACAAAAATATGTACTTTGCCCTAAGTCATTCAGACTCTCCTCCCATCCAGTCAACATACATGTTACCTTACCATATACCAGAGCTTATTACATGTTAATGTTGAAATGCATCAGTATTTTGAGTGGTGGCACCATTTTCGAACATGTGACCCTACTTGTCAACAACCCTCAGAAATGTCCAAAGACTTGAAAAAAAACAGATATTGAACAATAGATGGTACCTACAAGCTGATCAGTTCTCTCCCCCCACCCAAACATGGCCACATGGTTCATGTTATGGACAAGTTCACTGCTTCAGACCTTGAGGGCACCATCATCTGTGAACCACAGATACAAGTTAGCTCTCCTCAGAGCCTTGGTTATGTTACAAATATTATCTTTGAGTCCTTCAGAGATACATTTACCTCCATAGCTCCCAGGTCCCTGATTGTCCCTCTGAAAACAATTCCCACATGTGTCTGTAGCTATTCCACCTCCTTCAACCAGGGTGGCTTGTCAGAGGACAGCCTGGTCAGCTTATATGATGACAATAGAAAGTGCTGGAACTGGGAGCTTTGTCCACCCCCAGGCTCTGATTCACCTCCCAAGCAACCTGAGCCACTTGCCTCAGAGCTGCTGGTAGAATTGGAAAAGCTCTGCTTTGAAAAGCAAGTTGCTCTGTTTCTCAATGCTATTGGAACCACTGCCAAATCCACAATGCCCAGTCTATCCAGCAAACCCCGGTGTCAATGGATGGCAGACTGGAGCAGAACCAGCTTGTGAGGTTCTACAGGTTATTCCTGAAAGCCTGACCTCATCCTTGTTGATAACACCCCAGTATCCCTTGATGAGATTATGTGGTTAAGTCCCAAAGTCATTGCCAAGTACTCAAAGGAGCCTTTCAAGCCAGCATCCCGCCTTGGGAAGACAATGGACACTAAGGCATATCTAACCTTTGTTGACCAGCCCTGGAGGCACTATGTCCTTGGATTATCAATTACTGATAGTGAACTTCTTTGACTTCACTTTTACAACCACTCTGGTGGTGCAATCTCACCCTCTATCAATATCCACACTGATGCAGAAGTCTTCATATACATTGTATGCGCTGTTGCATTTGGTTCCTGCTCAACCCTTGGCTTCGATTTGACCATAGAGATATCCCCCCATCCTGCACACAGCCACAAATGCACAGCACTTGCAATACCTCTCTCCCCTTTCCCCTCTCCTGCAATGCCTTCTCCTCACTTGGAGTCAGGCATCCTCCCCAGTGCAAACTCACTCCTGACTCCTGCATCACCCAAACACATCCCAGCAATCAGGAGGACCCAAGTAAACAAGACCTTCTACAAGGTGCTTGATGTATTATTCTCAAGCACAGGCTTTCTAGGAAGGGGTACTGATTGTTACCTTGCATGCTACAATGGGGAATACTATGTCATCAAGGATTATTGGGTGGAGGAGTTGGAGCAGAGGACAGCCCTGCATGAAGTCAACATGATGAAGCTGGTCCAGGACATTGATGGAGTTTCCAAGTTGCAACACTACTGGGTCATTGAGGTCAAGCCGGGCATTGTTGATAAAACTGAATGATATCGTGATGAGAAGTGGTGATCATGCATGAAGTCTTGGAGAACTCATGTGCAATAGGCTATGAAGCCATGTGCAAGGCCAATGGTAATGTTCAAGACAAAAAAGGAACTCATTTCATGCATCTGAGATATTTTACAAAGTACATATCCTCTTCCACTTGTAAAATCAATACAAATTGCTTTAACAGTCCAACAGCAGGCTCTCAAGAGGGGTGTCCTCCATCGAGATTGTAGCATCAACAATACAATGATCGAGGATTTTGCAAATGGGTTGCATGGCTTTCTCAACTGGGAATTTGCTGTATGGGTCACATTACAGGGGGAATATGACTTGGGCAGCACAATAAGAACTATGCAAAACATTTTGGAATTTGAAGCTGATAGTACACAAAGGGGACAGTCCCCTTCCTTTCAGTGAATATCCTTTGCCAACTCAAGGAAGCCATCACTAAAAGTGGAAAGACTAATGTCCCATCGATCTGGAAAAGTGCCCCTCTCACCCTCATATTCATCGATCACCCTACTACTATACACCATACATTTGCAGACGATATCAAATCCCTGTTCTATGTTTTCATCTGGATCCTCATCCTTTATGATGGGCCACTTGGCCACAAGCATCAAGATATCAGCCATGAAAAGACACTTCTTGGCTTGTGGAGTGAAAAGGTGGCTGAAGATCTTGAAATTGCCAGATGCACCAAGTTCACATTCCTTAATGACCTGTCTGAATTGAGGCTGGATTCTGAGGTCTCGCAATATTTTCAAGATCTAATCCCTCTGGCTAATGAGTGGTGCATATTGCTTGGGCAGTCCCTGCTGAGCGGAACTGCAGTGCAGTTCTCTGATGTTATCTCCATTTTTGATTGTTTCTTGGCCAGCATGCCATATGAGAAACCACTGGAGATGATGAATGCATTCCAGCAGATCATTGCCCAGCACTAAGCACTTAATTCAAGCATGCATCCGAGTCAGGAGAATGATATGGATGTTATGTCTTTGGCAATTATGTCTTCTCAACACCTTTGTGAAGAGGTAAGGAGCATGGACAACCCTCCTATACCCAATAAACACTTTGAAGGCATGTAGTCTTAGCATGAATTTTATGTTTAGTTCACATTCTGTATGTTATGTGTAAAGTGTTTCAATTCATTTGCAGCAGGTAACTGTCTCCATGCATCGTTTCGTTTTATGTCTCATGATGAACCTGTCAATGTTTATATGGATTCACAAGATGTCATTTTGTCATGGTCCCCAGGCTTCCATCTTATACTGTTCTCTGTTTAACTGCTTGTACCTTCAGATGTCCACCCAATCTGGAACAATCCTGCTGAAAAAGAAGGATAGCAAAAAAGCCAAATGATGACCAGAGGCTGACAGAAGCACTCAACCCACAAAAAACAAGCATCTAGGAAGCCCACCCATTGATCTTGAAGAGTCTCAGTCTGTTGCCACAGTGGGACTCTGTTGTAGTGGAAGGGCAGGGGCAGGTTCAGGTGGAAGGGCCAAGCAATTGGAGTGGATTGGTACTGCACTTGAAGGCTGAGCTACATGGCCATGAAAGTCGACAGATCTCCCCAACAATTCTGTTGTAAATCCTCTTGCACCTCTGCCCACTCAGCAGAAAAAGGGTGGGGGCCACAGTGCTGGCCAGAATGCAAAACTGAAGGTCAGTTCTAGTTATTTGCAAATATCAAGCTAACCACTTGCAAAGTCCAATGTCACCCCACCACCATATGCACCTCCCACTGTGAATGGTCCTAGCCCAGCTGATATGCCTCCAGTGAGTGTCTTTTCATACTGATATACAATGTTCATTTCAGAATTCTGTCCTTCAGTCTTCAACAGCAGTAGCAACACCTGTCTTCCATCAGCACCCCACAGACTCCCATTGCTTTAGTTTCAGTGTTCTGGCTCAACAGCCAGGTCATATTGTGCCTCCCAAGATGGAACCTGACCTTCAAGTGCTCAATAATCCTTATATTGCCACAATTCAGGGAGACCAAGTTCCCAGTAATACATCTTGTCTGCCAACACCCCAGCCCAACTACCAGTCTCAGTTTATCCCCCACCAGCCACCTGCTACTGTCCCCAACTCTTGTATTGACCCCTCCCTTGATAGCTCACTCTCATTGAGACAAACTTCAGCAACTGCTGACATTTGCCACAAGAGTTTGGGGAAGCTGTCATCAGAGGGCTCCTCAGAAGAGGAGTCAGAGTCCTCAAGTAATAACCCATTGGACACAGAGGCTGGCAAGGTCTCCAGCAATGAGTTTGACAAAGATGAGGATGATGCATTTGGATGGGGTGCAACAAATCTTAGGCAATCAACTCATCCTGGTACATGTCGGAGGTTATTATGGTATTGGCTCAATGTTCTTTGTTAGGCTTCTCCCAAGAAATGATGACAAGCAATCCTGTTCACCACAATTCCTTACCCCCTGACCATGAGTTTCAGTACTCACACGACAAGGATGACAATGTGGCTCTGTGAAGCTTACAATCCAAGGACAAGGCTCAGCCAGAGGTATGAAAATGCCATTCCTGCTAGCTTTATTTATTCAGATTGTTATTTTAGGGTTCCCAATGTGGTGCTGTTGTTGACATTCTTGAATGCCACCATCGCACTAATGGCTGTCCTGTTCCTGATCATGATCTTCTGACCCTTGCACACAACTCAGTCAACGAAGTATCTCAGCATGCCAGAGCCCCTCATAACTCCAAGAAAGCTAAGGATGAGGGCCCATTGCCTTCACAACTGAGATTTTACAAGGCAGTATGGAAGGACTGTCTCAAAGATGCTAAGCAAGAATGCAGGGCTGCACATGCACTTTCTAACCTGTTCCCATCAAAATCTCATGACCTCAACCTCTCCATAACAGAGGCACTTGTCACTGTCATTGTTGAGTGGAATCAATGTGGTGTGCAATTTGAAGATGGTGAGTGACAATATTTTCACTTTATACATGTCTCATTATCCTAACTTTATAGGTTACTGGCCTGACCACAAGCAAGATATGGCGTGCCTTGTAAGTAGTCCCATCTTTTGGTTACAGCTACTGACATACTGCCAGTAGCTCCTTGGTGATATATCTACCTGGCACATAGTGTAGTCACATTTAGTCACAACACATGGGCAACCTGTGTGCCAAAACACCAATGCTCATATAGACCCCAAGACAGGCCCACCTAAATAGATTAGCCAGTACACATGGACAGGCCCGAGGGACTAAAGTGAGAGCAACATATGTACAGGCCTGTAAGTGCATTACCACAACATATGGGAGGGCCCATGGTGGGTAAGGATGTTGAAACATTTAGACAGGCCCATGACCAATTAAGTATACTGAGTTGCTGTAAGACATGGACAGGCCCATCCTGGTAGGTTACCCCCCTGTTGCAACATCAAGGTGGGCCTGCCTATCATAACATGGAGAGGGTCACAACATAAGGATGGGCCTGTCTATGATTAGAATACAAAGTTGGAAACATATGGACGGGCCTGGGAGTAATATCATTTATGGTGTCACAACATCTAGACAGGCCCATTCATAATAAGCCATACCCCTGTTGCAGCATAAAGACAGGCCTGTCAGTAATGTTGTTTCATAATGTCACAACATATAGATGGGCCTGTTGACAGTAAGATGTACTGCTGTTGAAACATAAAGATGGGCCCATCACTAGTATCATTTAATAGAGTCACAACATAAGGTCAGGCCCATTGGTAGTATTATGCAACATATGGATGGGCCTGTCCACAGTAAGATGTACCTCTGACAAGACATAAAGACGGGCTCATCATTAATCTCATGTATAGCATCACAACATATGGGTGGGCCCTTCAGTAGTATTATTTATATCATCGCAACATATGGGCAGGCCTGGCCCCAGTAAGATGCAAGATGCACCCTGTTGAAACATAAAGACAGGCCTGTCACTAATATCATTTAATAGAGCCACAACATATGGACAGGCCCTTCAGTAGTATTATTTATATCATCACAACATATGGGCAGGCCTGGCCCCAGTAAGATGTACCCTGTCAAAACATAAAGACAGGCCCATCACTAATATCATTTAATAGAGTCGCAACATATGGATGGGCCCTTCAGTAATATTATTTATATTGTCACAACATAGAGACAGGCCCATCAGTAATCTCATGCATAGCATCACAACATATGGGTGGGCCCAGCCCCAGTAAGATGTACCCTGTCAAAACATAATGACAGGCCCATCAGTAATGCTGTTTAATAGCATCACAACATAAGGATGGGCCCTTCAGTAGTATTGTTTCTATTGTCGCAACATATGGATGGGCCCATCAGTAATATCATCTAATAGTGTCACAACATAAGGACAGGCTCTTCAGTAGTATCATGTATATCATCACAACAAATGGACAGGCCCATCTAGCAAGATGCACCCCTGTCACAACATAAGGACAAGTTTGTGTATGGTATTCTTAGGCAGCAGAAAGGGAGATCCAAGCTATCTACATAAGGACAGTCCATGTAAGGTATTCTCAGGCAGCAGAAAGGGAGATCAAAGGGATCTACATAAGGATGGGCTCATCCATGGTATTCTCAGGCAGCAGATAAGGGAAAACAAAAACCAGTGTTACAACATAAGACAGGCCAATCCATCCATTGCAGGATTACAAACCCTTGGCACTGCATAAGATGGGCCAATCTGTCATATCATAGATAGCTCACCACAAATGGACAGGCCTATCCATAATTGGGTTATCCCCCTGTCACAATATAAGATGGGCCCAGGAAGACAAGAAATGAAGAAAGTGGAACCTCTTGCACTATAGATTATCTGAATTTCCCACTATAAATTGTGTTTCACGTTAGATGATTTGCCTATTTAGTTAGAATCTCAGGCACTGTCTATGCAGCTGTGAGCCAGGCTCCACCATTGGAGCAGACAGGAAACACACAAAACAAACAGCAATGCTATTCCAGAACAACACATCATATTTTTATCTGAGCTTCTGCTTCATATATGTTACGCTTCCGCCAAGGGGGTTGCCTTTTTCGACTTCTTGCGGTCACGTGTATCACGTGCCTCGTCACGATGCTCGTACTTGTCATCGCGCTCGGAGTAAAGATGCTGCGCGGAACTTTCGGATCACCCACTGTCCAGGTATTTCCAATGCCTGTCGAGACTCATCATTCGTGATCCATGACGTTCACCGCTCTCGTGATGGTTGAGATGTTGTCTTCTTGCTCCGCTGATTCCTTTTGACTCGTTTATATTGCTCATGTGTTGTACTATAGTTCCAGTGTCTGGCTCCCTGCTGTGTGTTGATCGTGCAGCCGGTGTAGCCTTCGCTTCCTTGACTACCCCCATCACCGACACCGGATGACTCTTGTTTATTTCAAAGATTGGTTCGTTGACTACTGCGGATACGCGTCGCGACGCATTCATCGCAACTGGTAGGGTACTCGTACTTAGGGGTATTTAAGCCCACGTACTTTACCATGTATCCTCAGTTTTTCGATAGCTTGCAACTGAGCTAATTACTTGGTTTCAATCCTTGTTCTCTCTCCACGTGAACAACCTTAGGGACTCGCCAGCAGAAGGAACCTCTGTCGGATTTTTACCATAACTCAGCCATAGGGGTTACGACAAGTTCGGCCCATAGTCTCCCACCTCGTTCGCTTCGTGACTATTCCATTTGAAGAAGTCACCGTGCTCGGGCATAACAAAATTGAAAAACTCCACGCAGCTTTCGGGACTCGTCGACCTCTTCATGAAAGTCTACTCGTCCCTGGTTACTGAACTTCAACAAACCAACGAACAATAAAACGAAGGCTCGTCGGTTTCCCTACGCGTAAAAACTGACTCGCCTCGTGTCCCACCTCTCAACTTGCCCTTAACAAGGACAATAACAAAATTGAGAAGCACCCAGCCACCCTCAACCAAATCCACCGCTCTACAGGCAGCCACTAGGCTTTAATAGATCGCCTCCCTAGAGTTGACCCAAACCCCCTTCGCTGACAGGTTTCTTTCGAGAAATAAATCCTCCCTCAGCTTTCGTTGTCACTATTCGTCAAAGTGTCAAACCCACAGAAGTCGAGACCACCAGTCCCTCCACATGTTAACCTGTTAGGACTCGGTAGGAACCCACCTTTACCTCTGATCCCACTAGGAAGACTTGGGCCGTCAACAACAGCAAGTAATCCTAGGTTATCTTATCTATCCCGTTTTAGGGAATCAGAAGTCGCGCTTAGTTCAGAAGAAGAAGACGATCAGAAGTCCGACACTTCTCTCGGATCAGTCCTCAAAGAAGAACAGGAAGCACGCAAATCGTTTGAAATGTCCATGACGATCGGTCACGGAGAGTCAGCCCCTGAGATGCCGCCAAAGGTATACTCTGAAGAGGAGCTGAAAGAGAAGTTGGACGAACGGATGCACTCTTTGGCCGCAGACTGGCGAAAAATAGCTGGTGTGGGACAGTCGAGTGATCCCTTCCCAACAGGTACACCTACAGACTCGGCTCTACGAGCATGGTACGCCAGGAATTTCGGAAAGGTAATTCCCCCAGAGGGCCCCGTTGGTGGGTCCAGTAAGGGTAAGGCCCCAGCTGAAGATGGTGATGACTCATACGATGTCCGCCCACCCAATGGAGGATGGGAGTTTAATGTCGGGCATCCCGGAGAATATGACGGAAGCCACAACGGGCTTCAGACTTGGATCACCCAAGTGGAAGGTTATCTTAACCTTAACAAGCATGTCTACAATACGGAGTCCCTCAAGATTTCGTTTGCCTTGACGTATATGACGAAAGGAGCAGCAGTGACGTTCGCCGAGAACTACCAAAACGAAAACAGGTTGCTCGACGGCACTATCTGGTATTCCGACACCTTCCAGAGGTTCGTCGAACGACTTAAAGCTACTTTCGAATCTGGCGATCAGACCGCGCTTGCTATCCTACGTCTGTCTGACATCTCGCAAGGAAAACGAGAACTTGAAGCGTATATTGCTGAATTCACGGGGTTGGTTAACAAGGCCCAACTCAAAGAAGAGTCGCGAGAAGCAGGGATCTTCTTCGGGAAAGGACTCAACAAGGAATATCGCGATTGGATTCTCAATTCAGGACGCACCCCTACCATGGTAATCGAATGGATCCAGTGCACGGGAGAAGCGAGAACGGCAATCGCCACCAAACATATCCTTGAAGGAAAGGAGTCCCATTACGAGCGAAAGTTTATCCACTATCGCAGAAACTCCCGAGATCCTGATGCAATGGACATCGACAAAAGAAGGCGAAATGTACGCCGATCAAATGATGACGTTACTTGCTTCGAATGTGGCAAAAAGGGCCACTACAAGCGAGACTGTCAATCCCAGAAGACCAAACCCTTACCCGGTG